GGGGTTCAAAAGGCCGGTTTGGGACGTTGACCCACGCCTGCACCCCGTTATCACAATTTTAGCTGCCTGTGGCACTCGGAGCTTCAGCTGTTTTCTGCCCGTAAAAAGGTTTGCTGAAAGCAAGGACTGGAGGTTAAAAGTGTTATTTGAGCTGTAATGACCGAGTCTGGATCAGAAAAGAGTTTTGTGGTAAAAGGCCAGCAGGGGCAAGGACCATGGGTGAGGGTGTGCTCAGAAGGAATTGCCTGTGGCCTGGGAACTGTCAGGAAAATGCGAGGGAAAAGGATGCTGAAAGTGAGAACGGGGTCATCCAGCTTCCTGGCTGTTCCGGGTGGGCAACCTGTTAGAATGGAGAGGCTGCTGCACAGAGGAGGATGAGGTAACAGGAGATTGAGGAGGCAAAACAGCAGGAGAGAAGGTGTAAAATTCAGGGCAAGATGAGATGAAGGGAACCGAGATTTGAAAATTGGGACTTTTCTCAGCAGAAACAGTCTTGACAGGGTTGTCACTCCTGTGTCATCGGGTTTCATTAGCTTCAGGACACTGATGGTTGGTTTGGTCACGAGCCTGTAAGCATCTACAGTGTACTGTGGTTGGTGAGGAAAGGCAGCGACACAGCCTTTTCAAGGGAAGCCAGCTCTTTTTTTTTTTTTTACTTCATGATATGTAGGAGGTACAGCATGTTAGTGGCCAGTCAATCGCTCTGCAGGATGCATGGCAAAGGATGGTTTTAAGGAGGAGTTTGAGGGTAGCTTGTAAAGCTACCACAGGGTGCAGGACACCAGAGGAGGAAGAACATAGGCACTCATTTTAAAATATTCGAAATGGATGGTGGAGCTAGACCTCAGGGGGGCTGAGCAATAGCGGGAGCTGAACTCTCCATAATAAGCGAGGTGAGGGTAGTCTGTGAGGTCTCGGGAAATGAAGATGAGCAGCTTCAGGCTGCCGCTGTGGAAAAGGAGGAAGTGGCAGATGGAAGTACTGTGGCTGTTATGTCAGTGTAATGAGCTGGAAAAATGCACCCCTGCAGAAGTGCTATTCTTGTGGAGGTTAGTGGGGTGAGACTGTGCTCCTTGAGGCCAGAGGAAAGCGTGTTGCAGCAATCAAAAATGCAAGCTGACAGGTGCATGGGTGGGAGTTTTAGCTGGTTTGGAAGCTTGTAAAAACCATACGGAGCCACTAAAGCCTGAAGGCCTAGAGGGTGATCTACACTGAAGATGATGCTCAGGTTACAGATAAAGGTTGAGGAAGCAGGTACAAAGTATGTGTTCTCCTGGCAGGTGTGGTAGCATCCTGGACAGATTAACCCCATCAACTCCTTTTTCAGAATTGCTTTTGCTGAAGGTGGTATAGTTTTGCTATTCCGTTGTTTCCTAGGCATAACAGGTGGATTTTGCCTGTTCTTCAGTAGTATTTGTTTCAGTTAGTAACTCTTTTAAATCAGGTGAAATTGCATGGAGGCCTCATGTGGCTGTTGGCAAAGCAAGCTAATAGCCTTATACGTATTATTTCAGCTAATATGGAAAATCAGATTTTGGACTGATAGGTTTTTTCATCCAACAATCTCCTATCTTAATATTTTAAAAACTCTGTGTTGAAAGATTTTAGCACAGATCCACAATTATTATGATTCTTCTTTTAGAGATATTTGTGGTTGCATCTCCTTCATGAATGGGGAAAGGTGTAAGTTTTTTCAAGTAGTGAATTAATTGGGTAATAGAAGTCCTGATGTCTTTGGTTTTTTGCCTATTGACAATGTGAATCTTTTAAAGATGAGTATTCTAGTGGATGCAGTAAGAAAAGGTTATGAAGATATAATTACAGGAAAAAAAAGTCATGATCATAACAGGAGTCATTTTAAGTAAGAAAGCCCAGGCAGATATATTAATACACAAATACACACTAATTTACAGATTAATTCCTGTGATCAGAATTTGAACCGATGCTGTGAAATAATAGAATTGAACTCTGAGATTCAAGGGCAGCTCTTCACAATCCTCAATGAAACATCTCAAGAAGGTAAGTCAGTGTCTTGTCTTATTAGTAACGCCTTTCACATGTGTCATCTTTTCAAACTCTGGCTCTTTCTGTAAGTGTTCTCACAGTTTCTTAATGTATTTTCTTAGGAGGGCATTATGCAGGTGTGGAAACAATAAAAACTCGTCTCCTGCCATGGCTAGGGACTTGTTTTTCCTGTGCTACTTCAGGAAGGCTCTTTGAAACCAACCTCTCTCTGACTCAGGTATGTAGGAAATTTAAGAGAAAAGAATGGTGTGAATTTATACCTGCAGGAGAGCTTTAATGGCTTTCTGTTAATACTAGCCTCCCTCCCTGATTGTGCTTCATGAAATATGTCCTTAGTTGCTCATGGAGATGGCTATGCTATTTCTCTCTCTCATCTTGTGCTTCCTTTGAAGGGAAATCAAAGACCTTTTGACCTTCTAGGGCTTGTGCTGTTGCACAGCGAGTGACAATATGGAGGAATTTGCTTTGTAAGAGAAGCTCTGTTCTTGTACTGTTTTCCTTTTCTAGGTGAAGAACTATGCTGTTTACATTTGTAAAGACATCATAGAAGTGTTTATGCCATATGTCTATTAGTAGAAACCTAACACTATGTGAAAATACATGTGTAAGCTGAAGGTGTGTATAAACTCCATGCATTTATCTGTGAGATCCTTTTATTTTTGTGAAGAAAAAAAAAAAATCTTTGTTTAGTATCTGGGCATTATAATATCTCCAGAAAGGAAAAGACCCCAAAGTGCTCATGTCCATCATGATGCCACTACATGCCTGACTTGAATTTTGGAGTTAATATACATTTGATATTTACTGAAGGGGTTGTAGTACTAAGAGTTTGACAGGAAAGACAGATCTGCTGTATCTTTGTGCTTTGAAAGAAAATAAAAGCATTGGTTGATGCGGACAAGGGGAAAACATTGAGTATCTTGAGACTTGATAGTGATGTCTCCATGCTTTCTGACTTCTCGTTTTTTACATCTTTTCTGTCAAAATTTTTCACAATTAAAATAGGGACAAATGAAAAGTGATAGCCCTTGAGAGTCAGATTCTAGTGTATTGCAGGAGTAGGCTTCTGCCAAAAAATCCCAAGATGTAAAATAATGTTATGAAATGACAGTATACCAGGTATGGATTTGTCATTGCATGCGACATTCAAAATGTAAAGAAAGGCCTGCTGCGCAGTTACTTATGTAATTCCAGTAGTGTCAGGCAAATCTATAGGTTGTTAAAGACAGAGGTGCATGTATAGTAGTGTGCTTTCTGGAATGACAATAATTGCCTCCTCTGTTCTAATAACTTTGTTATTTTGTGTACATGAATTCCCAAAAACTTTACTGGAGTTGGTGATATAGTCAGTCAGAAGATGACTGACTAGAAAAATACCCCATGCAACACATCTGCAAGAAACACTTTGTTCGGATGATGTGTATACAGATAGTAAATCTGCATATGCAGACCTTCCATATTCTCCATCATGAGATGTAAATGAAGTGAATATTTTTCCTGTTATAATTGAGTCTTTGTTTTGTGTGCCTGGAAGGTATTGCTTATATCTCTAGAAGGTATACAATTGCTTTTGTATTCAGTTTCTTCAGAAATGGTCTTTACTGAAATGTTTAGAAATACATCTGCTAATAATGCTATACTGCGTTGCTGAAGGATTTGGTAAGGTAGAACACTCAAGCAGCGTGATTTTGTGTTTTGTTGTAGGATTCATTTGAGAAAGAGAGGCAGCTGAGAGAGCTAGCCAGCAGTCAGACTCTTCAACTACAAGAGCTGCAGGAAGAACTGACTTCAACTCGTCTACAGCTCAACCATGTGCAACAGGAGTAGGGGAATTAACTGTGATTCTTTTTGCTGTTTTTTTTTGTTTTTCAACAAGCCATACATTTCTCTTGACATCTAAATACCGATAGAGATTTGTAAAATGTTACATTTCTGCCTTAAAATCAGAGCTTCAAAGTACATCTAGGCTCTGGATTGTCTGTGTGTGTCCAAAGTAGGTTACAAATGACACAGTCGTACCTGCATTCATAAATTGACTTGGTAGGTTTTGCTTCTGGCACAGGAGCTGGAAAACATGCCAGTATTCTAGACAAAAGGGTTTTGTGTAGTGCATGACTATCCCAGTGGAATTACAGTCAATGATCTGTTGCATGCTGAGCAAGCCTTGATAAAAATCAATTGAGTAGCTATAGTGCAACACTTACTGAAGAACCTACAACATGTTGTAATTAGTTATGGTATGTAATCAGTATGTGAACATGTGGTATGGTGGAGCAAGAAAGAGAGACAGACTTCTGAATAAGTGACTAGGACTGAAAAGGTTTTGTCCAGTTGCATAAAACACATTTTGTGGAGCTTGGTAGTCTCAAAATTACTTAATTGCTTCAGAAACAAATTTGTGCAGTTAGTGTCACTGCAGGGCTATTTCAGAGGTAGCTCCAAGTGACAGACACTTTCTCATGCATCTTATTACCATGAGAACAATGAATGTTCATAGTCCTTGGGTCAGTACAGTAAGTGATGTAATTTAATGGTCTTACTAAGTGATTCCAAGAATATCAAGTTCTCAGAACTGCAAACTGTATTAGCTAGATTAGAGGAAAGGCATTCAAGACTATTTTATCCTGTATCCTAATCTTGCAGATGTCTCCTGCTGTCATAGAATTGTAGAGTCACAGAATGGTTTGGATTGGAAGGGACCATCAAAGATCATCTAGTCCCCTCTGCTCTTGGCAGGGACATATTCCACTAGATTAGGTTGCTCAAAGACCCATCCAACCTGACCTTGTACACTTCCAGGGATGGGGCACCCACAACTTCTCAGGGTAACTTGTTCCAGTGTCTCACCACCCTCACTGTAAATTATTTCTTCCTTGAATCCGATTTAAATCTTCTCTTTTAGTTTAAAACTCTTACCCCTTGTCCTATCAATAGGACAGGGGTAAAAAGTAAAATCTCTCTCCACCTTTCTTGTAAGCCCCCTTTAAGTATTAAAAGGCTGCAGTAAGGTGTCTCTGAAGCCTTTTCTCCAAGCTAAACAATCCCAACTGTCTCAGCCTTTCTTCATAGGAGAGATGTTCCAGCCCTCTGATTTTTGTGGCCCCCCTCTGGACCTGCCTCTAACAAGTCCATATCTGTCTTGTACCAGGGACCCCAGAGCTGGATGCAGTACTCCAGGTGGGGTCTCATGAAAGGGGAGTAGAGGGGGAGAATCACCTCCTTTGACCTGCTGGCTGTGTTTCTTTTTATGCAGCCCAGGATGTGGTTGGCTTTTGGAGCTGCGAACACACGTTGGCAGCTCTCTTCTAGTTTTTGATCTACCACTATCTCCAAGTCCTCTTCTACCGGGCTGCTCTTAATCCATTTTTCCCCCACAAACTTGCTGAGAGGTGTGCTCAATCCTGCTGCCAGTGTCATTAATGAAGATACTGAACAGTACCAGTCCCAATACAGACCCCTGAGGGATACTGCTTGTCACTGATCTCTATTTGGACATTGAGCTATTGACTGCAACTCTCTGGATGGAGCCATCCAGCCAATTCCTTACCTGTCAATTAGTCCATCCATCAAATCTATATCTTTCCAATTTAGAGACAAGGATGTTGTGTAGGACCATGTCAAAGGCCTTACAGAAGACAAAGGAGATGACATCAGTTGCTCTTCCCTTATTCGCCAGTGTGTATTATTATCTGTTATGTCTCATCTTGGATGAATGCAGGCATTCTAATTTTTCACTAGCAAAAAAAGTCCCTCAGTCAACTCTGAGTGAGTTAAAGATCAGTGCATCCCCTTGAAAAGAAGGCAAGAAGACAAAAAAAATCTTGTGACCTACATTAAACATCAAAAGTGATGAGACGGGACAGAGAAGGACCCGACAACATTTGGAAGAAAAGAGAGGGTTTTTTGTTCTTGGCATTTCAGCTGGTTTGCCAGAATTATGCAATCTTACGAAATAATTCCAGCCTCGAAGGTTTAATAAGCAAAAGAGTTGTCTTCTGTTGATATTTTGAACTAGACTAGAAGAGTTATGGGAGATCAGTGGATCTTATTAACGTGTAAACCTGAAGGGAGGGTGTAAAGAATACAGAGCGAGGCTATTTCCAGTGGTGCTTAGTGACAGGACTGGAGGCAGTAGGCACAAACTGAAACACAGGAGGTTCCCTCTGAACATCAGGAAACACTTTTTTACTGTGAGGATGATTGAGCACTGGCACAGGCTGCCCAGGGAGGTTGTGAAGTCTCCATCCTTGGAGATATTAAAAAGCTGTCTGGACGTGGCCCTGCTTGAGCAGGGGGGTTGGACAAGATGACCTCCAGATGTCCTTCCAACCTCAGCCATTCTGTGGTTCAGGTATATATAAAGGTTGGTTCAGAGGGGAGGCACTTAATCCTATGCTCCTGAATGGATAGAAAGAGCTTACTTGATGAGCTGGAGGAAAGTGTTGGATAGTCAAGGTGAGAAGTACAAGGCAAGTTACTCATTGCTACAAATTGGAGTGAGTATGTGGCAGTTTGCAGTACAAGAAAAAGTTGGTTTGGGCTAGCTCCTGCAAGAAGTGGGAAATTGGTGGTAAAGCTTTTGTACAGTTTTGTGGGTTGCATTTCTTTGTGCAGTCAGGTCAGAGAGGTGTTGGCTGTGGTTTGCAAAGGTAGAAGTCTGGAAGGTGGAGGGTTGGGAAGAGGTAGTTCAAGCAGAGGTGATTGAGTGGATAATAATCTTCATAATTCAAGATTCAAACTTTCATTTTCACATGTGAAAGTTTCAGAACTGATCCTTTCAGGGTGATGCAGTATGGAGTCATGACTGTGTAGTTATTGTCAGGCAGGGGACAGGTGCAGGAGGACGAGAATTCATGTCCCAAGATACCCTATCTATGGACAGGGAAGTCATTCTGAATGCTGTAAATTGTTGGAATTGATGGAGAAACTGGAATTGAGTCTTAGAATCATAGAATCACTTTGGTTGGAAAAGACCTTTAAGATCATCGAGTCCAACCTTTAACCTAACCCTGCCATCCCACCATTAAACCATGTCTCATCTATCCTTCTTTTAAATACCTCCAGGGATGAGGACTCTACCACCTCCCTGGGCAGCCCATTCCAGAGCCTGACAACCCTTTCGGTGAAGAAAACAGTGGGTTGTAGTAAACCAATTCTGTTATTGTGCAGTCAGCGATGACTTTTTCTAAGCTATTTGTGTGCTGATAGTCTGCACAAAGCCCACTGTGATTGTTTTCATATGTTAAATTGGTATGGACTTGGCCTGCTTAAATAGTCAGTTTGTCATATTAAATTCTTCGGTAGAATCTCTGCCTTTACCATGAAGGCTATTAATTTTTCTTGCAGTCTGGCAAAAACCCAGTTGGCTCTTGAAGACACAAAGACCAAATCAGCCACTACTCTTTTGGCAGCAGAAGATGAAATTGTTCAACTAAAAGCAGCGTAAGAAAAATTGACTCTTGGGGTGTTTGTGGCAGAAAGTCAGCATGCAGAGACACAGTCTGTCATTTACCTGAGTGGGTTCTGTTTATTCTACACTGTGCTATTCTATAGCAAAAAATAGGTCTAGCTCCTTAACATCCTGTGGCTTTGTTTGTTAGTATTATAGAGAGAGAATTAGCTAAGTAGTTCCATGTGAAACGAACCCTTATGGCTGAACTTCTATCCTTTTCTCTTTAGCATAGAGGAAGGATTACTTTGAAACTGGCAGCTTGATAGCATTTGAATTTTGTAGATGAAGTTAAATAGGAGAGAACAGTATTCTGAATATTGCCAGAAACTGTTGTTTGCAATTTGATATGATGCTCTTGGAACTAGTGTGTGTGTTAAATACAAGACACTTCAGTCTGTTTATCTTAAGATAAAGTTCTTTCTACGGCTTTTTCTTTTAGACCGTTTTTGTCAAATCCTTTTGCCTGTCTGCACAGAAGTAATGGCTATTGGTAACCTCAACATTTCTGGTTTAAAAACATTTTTTTTTTTTTGAGTTTCTAAGTGATTTGGTCACATCTGGGAAGTTAACTTGGATCAGTAAGGGTGCAGCTGGGGGACCTACCTTTCCATTTCAATACAGGGGTCCTTGACCTACAGGCAGTTCTAGAAGCAGTAATAATTATTCACTGTTATGAAGTGTAGCCCATGTCTCTGTAGGTTTTTTGGTGTGTGTTATATTGTCAGAAAAGAATACAAAGGTAGTTGAAATTAATTCCAACAGCATGTGAATTATTGTGGTAACTGACATTTCAGCAACAGAAATATAGTCAGACTTGTTAAACGCAGCCTTTCAGTTAAATAACATTGCTGCTCTTAAAAATGGAAGAAACTTGTATTTGCTGCTTAGACTGTGGGAAAGGATATAACTGTCCACAAGTTTACCTTTCCTTTTAGGGCAACTGAGAGGATGAGCTACTCCTGATAAAGATAAGCAAACAAAAAACCATCAGGCCATTATAGCTTCTACTTCCAATATCAAGTTGAATATCACTTGTTCATCTCTGGATGTTTATAATTTCTTCTAGAATAATGTTAATTGCCAGATTTAATCCATGGACTTTCCTAGCGAGTGTTGATCGCTTTGGATTTTAACTTTTTGGATGGCTACCTGGGGTATAAACTCATGTTCCCATAAAATGGGCTCTTGATTTGTTGGCTGAAAAGTAACTCATATAACTCCTTGATTCTTAGATATAATCTGACTGCTCTATTCCCAATTAAAACTATTAGCAGGGAATAAAGCATCTCACAATTCCCATGTGTAGGTCTTCATGCAGACTGGACAGAAATTCATGTGGCCATTTGTTCTAATGACAGAAAAGCAAAACATTCCTGTCTTCCTGTGAGTTCAGGAATTCCATAATCTCTACATGCTTATGGTTCACGTTTGCTCTCAATTTAGCTGGCACTCTACATTTGCATCTTCTGCATGGGTGTTCAACTTTTGATTGAAGCAAAGGTGCTATTTTTCATGTTCTGTGAATTATCTTTTCAAAATTTGAACCCTTTTAGTTGGGTGGAATCATATTTGCCTAGTCTTCACCTGCCTGTCAAAACGAAAATCCTAAAAGTAGAGGAAGTGAGGTCAGGACTGATCTGTGACATTTAGGGCAGGTTTTTTTTTTTTTACACAAGGAACAGTTTGCCAGGAGCGTCCTTTGCATCTTTGTCTGTAAAGTTGATTTTTGAGACTTTTGGAATAGCTGATGATCTCATTCCTCTTGTCTATAGTCTGTCTGTCTTGCATACTTAAATCAAAGCATGTTTTACAAGACATCTTGGTCTCCCGGGCTGTTAGAGCAAATGTGGTCTAGACTCAATATAATTAAATTCTATAGCCAGTATATCATGTCAAGATATTAATTATAACAGGATTTATCTATTTACTGCAGAATTATGAAGGAAAATACACATTTTTAAAATTAGTAACAATCAATGTTTAAAAGTAATTGGAAGTTCTTCTGGGGAAGACAAAAAATAAAGCGTACTAAAACTGTTGTTGTACACAGACTGAACAAAATCCTATTAGTACTATTATAAATGGAAGCTTACTACTAGGGTGCTTAGACTTGTGCCATGGTCTAATCAAACGTAACAAAGCCAGACAACTCACTTTGAAGTTAATGAGGTCAAGAGGACTCTTCCTTTTTGATCTGCTGTATGGAGGACTTGTATAGATTGGAAGGAAGAAGTTTTGATAAACATAGTTGCAATTAATAACAGCCAATATGGTAGCTTGAATCAGTTACCTCAAGACCTTGTAGTGTTGCTAGTGCAGGGAGCTCTTAAAAATAGGTTAAACAGGCATCTGGCCAAAAATTACACAGGTAGAGTTGTTCTTGCCTCAAATTTCAAGGCAATCAGACTGAATGAGTTGGGCTTAGCCCAAGGACTGGGGGAACCGTGAGGGACTATATTGTTAATGAATTGTTTGAAACTGGAGGGTACCAGTGGGCTGCTTTATCCAAACAGCGTTAAGCAGATACTTGACACGAATTCTCAAGGCTGTTGTATTTTCTCCTGAGAAACTGGTTGAAGATGCCCATTTTATTTTAAAATGGTTTGATGGTGGAGCTTAAAACACTAGTTATAGCCTTAAAATAAAAGTGGATTATAAAAACTGTTCTGATTTTTCTGAGAACTATATTTTGCCTTGTTTGCTCCCATTATTTTTTTGGTAGCATCTACATCTCTTTAACCTTAACAGAAAGATGATAATGCTCTCTTCATTTCAGATTAATATTTAGCAGTTGAGTAAATGAACAATAAGACAGGAGAAACTCTGAATACTGCATAGATTTAATTAGCATGGAAAGGATTAGTGTTAAGGCTCACAAAAGTCAGCATTCATAATTCATAAATGTGTCTGTCTTAAAGTTGGGTTTTTTTTTCTTCTGGTATTTAGTGTTTCCTACAAAGAAACAAACATCCATTTTCGGTGGTGGCTTTTCTTGTGTTTGTGACTTACCATGTGACTTGTGATGAACAATGAAAGATGCAGGTATTTCTGCTGGTTTCAGTCTGTCATGTGGTCTCCTGTTTGGTGTTTTTTGTTTGTTTTTTCCCCCCTCTGCTGATAAAGGCAGACCTATAATTAAGCATCTGTTTGTGTTTGTAATCATTATCTGTGGTCATGATGAAGCTTTGTGGATCTCACAGAAGTGAAATAAAGACCATCAAAAATTGCTTTAAAACTTTCTGAAAACCCCCATGTGAATAGGTGTAAATAACAAAAAGAAAATAATGTAAAAGTGAAATTATTACTTTTAATTTATCCTTTCGGTTGGGTAGTTGTTAACGCTGCATTGTCTGTCTGCATTGACCATCATGGCAATTTAAGGAAAGCCTAACTAGTGTGTTGTATATTACATAGGGGTGTTTTTTCAACTATTTTTTTTGGGGTACATAATGATTTTCTTCCATCCCTGTCTCTAGAACTCATTTTGCCAAATTACTTTCCTTTCCCAGTTGTTCTTTAAAATAGAATTCTTTAGCCGCTTTTTACTACTACTCTGCTAGAAGTCCTTGCTGGAGGAGCTGGCTAGGGAAGTCTATGGGACTGTAATAGTATCTGCAGCTTTTCCTACCGAGGTTAGAAGGACAGTCTCTCCTCTAAGCAGATGCGCCGGCCTTATTACCCGCCGTCCTCTCAGTCAGCCTGTTCCTTAAAAGGTTTGAACAGGAAGCTTGTTAATTGATAGGTGTTACAGCTTTCATTGGTTCAGATCCTCAAAAATCTCACCAGGGTCCTTCAGTAACAAAAAGGAAGGACAGACTGCATGCCTCCAAAATGAATAGAAAGCATCTTCCCCCCCGCCCCCTTTTGGAAAGAGGAAAGCAGTAATATCCATGTTAGGAGGGAAAGCAGAGATGTTGGGATACTTTCTACCATTAAGTAAGAGTAAAGGACAGCAGATAAACTTGCTTAACTGGCTGTCTGCCAATGTTTAAGAAACACTGCTTGTCTTGAGGCGAGCAGGAGAGGAATAGACTGGATATAAGGAAGAAATTCTTTACAATGAGGGTAATGAAACACTGGAATGGGTTGCCCAGGGAGGTAGTGGAGGCCTTGTACCTGGAAACATTCAAGGCCAGGTTGGATGGGGCTCTGAGCAACCTGATCTAGTTAAGTGTCCCTGCTCACTGCAGGGGGGTTGGGCTAGATGACATCTAAAGGTTCCTTCCAACCAAAGCATGCTATGATTCTGTGAATCATTAGCTTTTGGTATTACTCGAATAACGTCACTGGTGATATCCTTTGACTGACTAATATATTCCAGCAAAGAAAAGAACCCAAGGACCTGATGTAAGAAATTACCTAGAGTCTTAACTAAACCAGCTTGGTTTTCTTTCCTACAGTTTAACATCTTAAACACGAGAAAGAAAATAGTTTCACTGTAGGAAAGAAAACCAAGCCGGTTTAGTTAACATCTTAAACACGAGAAAGAAAATAGTTTCTTTCTTAGACCTCACCATCTGAGGTAGTGTAAGGACACCAAAAGTAATTAGGAGTATGCTTTGGATTATGCTTTTTTCAAACTCTTGATTTCCCTGTACTTCAGCATAAGGAGCTTGTTCAATATTTCTCCTCTTTTTCTGTTCTTTTTGTTTGATGATGAGGATTAATTGATAGATAGTTTGCATTGGTAGAAGGACATCCTGTGACTGACTTTACTCTGTGTGGTTAAGTCTGAAGACTTCCCGTGCCCAAGAGAAGGACGCCCTGAGGAAGTTAGATCGTCTGAATGACTATGAGCAGCAGATTCAAATACTGCGTGATGAGATTGCTATCCTGGATGCCCAAAAGTCTGTTCTTCAGAGCAGGTAGAGGCATTATTCAGAGAAGTCACTGAATCAGAGAAATTGTTCATGTTGGGTAGCATGAATTCCCTCCTTGTTTTGAATTGAGGGAATTCATGCTTTGTTATGAAGGAACATAAACTCTAACTGATTTCTTCTAGTGCCCGAATGTTTTAATTTCAGGCAGCTATGTTAAGTTTCTGGCAAAACAGCAGAGAGAGCAGCTTTACAAAATACATTGAGAGCAACTGTACAGGATAAAAAGAAATGGTTAGGTTTTTTGTTTGTATGTCCTCTTTGAAGGGTGTATCATTACAGGGCAGAACTTGTTAGATTCTCACTTGTTTGACTTTACAACTCTTCAGCAGTACTGGAAGAATAACAAATCTCCAAAGTATTACTAGTTAAAAGTGTTTGCCCAGAACAAAGTGCTTGGCTGTACACACTTTAGGAATTTAATTTTATTGTTCAGGATCTAGCCCATAAAATGTATTGACACAAATGCCTTCCTATTAGGCTAACCAGCTGCAGCTTTATTTCTTTAATTATGTTGGCTCAAAATCTCAGCTTACCTTGGTAATAACTAAATTGACACAAAACTCTGTGCACTAGGTAAAAGCATCTGAGGATGGGGAAGTGACCTCATGCTTCTTTACATGTCTGTTGTAGGCTTGCAAGGAGCCGCTCTCCTTCCCCAAGGCACAGTGAGAGCAAGTCACCTAGTCTGCTTCCCCTGAGGAGCTGCTCACCTGGCCGAGCCAGACGTACAAATGCTTCACGTCGTGCCTGCCTGGTAGCTCGCTTTGGTGACATTTATGCTCAAGAACGCTTGGATGCAGAGACCCTTTTGAGGACATACATCAGTGACATGGAGATGGTGCAGAGGATAATATACATTGCAGCTGTGGTAAGAAAAGAATATTTCTTGTTTTACAGGCCAGAAGTGTTTTATAAAATATTATGGCTGGATTGCATTAAATTGTGTGCAAATTAGCATTTCTGTGAAGTACTGAGAAGAAAACTTCTTTTTTTTTTCTCTTTTGGTTTTCCTTTCTTTCCCTCATGCTTTTACATTGAACTCTCAATTTAGTGTCCTTTTCTGACTGTCCTGTCCCATCATTAGAACAGGGTCAGTGATCTACAGTACAGGTGCTAAAAGGGGTGCATAAGATGACTGGCTCTGAAAGGTAGATGATTCCTGCACTAAACAATGCCACTTCGTTTAGATGAATTCTTTTGGGAAGACTGTGTTTTAGAAAGCTAAAAATCTGTCCATATCATGCTTCCCTTTTGCCTGTAGCTATGTGCTTTTCCAGTTCTATTGGGTCCCTTGGAATTACCTAGGTACCTCATGTTTACTCTGAGCTCAGTCTGAAGAGATTTGTTTTCGTTCTTTTGTATTGAATCTTGTCTATGAAATTCATGTAGTACATACCTGTGCCAGAGAGGCAGTGTGTCTCTTAATGTGTGTGACCCCAAGCACGTTTAACTTACTGAAGTTTTTTTCCCACCAATGTAATTCAGTTTACACTCTCCAATTCAACCTTTCTTTGCAACAGACAAGAGGTGCTCCCTCTGACATGCTAGGCTGTGGCACATAAAATGCTATTACTGAATTCTGCTCTTGATATCTTTGAATGTGATTCCATTGATTGTGGATGTGTGATGGAATCCTACATAAATATAGAGGGTTAGGTAATCACACTTGATTTAATCAGAGAAGCTCTCCCAGATGAATACAATTTTTAACTTTCACTTTTACAGCTGCGTTTTATATTCCTCCTTGCAGTGATGATACTGGGTTAAGTTCATCCTTGCAGACAATTGATAAAAAATTAATCATGGTCTCCTGGATTTAACTAGATGTTCTTTATGTTTGCAGGAGTCTTTTCATGAAGCAAAGATGGCCTACAGGCAGTTCAAAATACGTGTAAGAGAGACTCTGTCTCTAGGTCACTCGGGGCCTGAGTCACTTGAAGACACTGTCCTGGATTATATAGTTCGTCATGAGGATCTGTATGATATTCAAGCCAGTGTGAATGTAAGTTGAGGGCAGTGGGGAAGTGACTTGTTGATACATTTCAGTAGCTAATAAATTCAGAGTGTGTAAATTAGAAATGCACAAAACCTAAAGAAGGAAAAAAAGTTTATTGCATGGATTTTATGTCTCACAGCAGTTTATTTTCCAAAATAATATTGTGGTATGGCCCAGTAATCCCTTGTTTTATTTGCCTATGACTAGAATGTCTCTGCCTGCCAAAACACTATTTTTGGCAAGATACAGTGTAACTGTCTTAATCAAATAAATTGAGGTTAAATTTAATATTTTTCTTAAATTCTGTGCTCTACTGAAAAACTGCATCTCCCTCCTAGGATTGATATCAATGATGTAGCTCATACATTATTTCTAAAATAACAGCAAATTCTTTCTGAAGCTAATATTTTCTGGAATAGCCTAAGACTCCATTGCTGTGAGCTTCTTATATTGATTTTTAAATGTAGAAAGATGAGAGGTGTATTTAGGAGGGATTTCCATACTTGCCCATGGATAAAAGTGTTACTGAGCTCAAATTACTCGATTGTGTTTGTTTTCAGGAAGTAATTCGCTCCATGAACATCAACCCAAAGATTTCATTTCCACCAGAAATTGATTTCATTGTGATCAGCACTTTGATTCGAGAGTTGTGCCGTGTGGCTTTTTCAATGCAGACGCTCGTTCCTCCTCTTGATATTGCCTTTGGTAGTGATGGAGAACTTTTCAGTGAGACCAAGTAAGAACTCTTTATCTTCAGTCAGATTCTCTGGGTTAAAAAAAATCCATCAGGTTGTATAGTCTGCTTCTTTCCTAATTAATATAAGGGTTTAAGATTGATGCTACATATTAATTTGGGGCAAATATTCCTGGTCTGTAGTGAATTTGGTATGTCTTTAAGGTTTATGATGGTATATAAATGCCAGGATGTAGACCAGTATTAACAGCTTTGTTTAATGAACAGCAGATCAATTGTCTGGATAAACTTCAGGCTCTAGAGCTTATTTAATTTTTCCTTTAAGAATAAAATTATCATCAGTGTTCCTTTCCCTGTTTAGTCTCTACCTGCCTCCAGTGTTTATAAAATGTGTGCATCTTTGTTCCTCCTTTCTGGCCCATTTTGTAAAAGTCATGGTTACTGAGATCTGGCAGTTGATGCCTGATACCAGGATCATCAACGTGTGTGCTGTGACCTCCAGGCTGTGGCTGCTATACAATGTATGGACCTTAATACACTCCCATCTCTTCTGGTTTAAGAGCTGAGCAAAAAGAAAAATACTTTTTTAAACAAAATACGCATTTTCAAAAATGCACATTGTAACATAGTTTTTTTTCTTTTTTTCCATAGGGTCAGGGCTGGTTGCTTTGTTAGCTGGCAGAGAACTGTAGGGTACTTCCGTGCCTTCAAACTAATGGTTTTGATAGATCAAAAAAAATTGCTCTCAAAAGCAAGCAAAGCCACACCAATAAGGAGGTCTCTAATAATAATTTGAAATAGAATGGAACCCAGATAGGGAAGAGCTTGAGAAACCAAGGAGAGAAACAGAGAAGATAAAAGTAGTCCTTCAACAGGATAGTCCTAAGTCATACACGGCTACTTAATGATCCTGGGCAGTTAGCTGTTTGATACCCCAAGCTATTGGCTGAATTAAGAAGGCAGCAATGCTATGGTATAGTCTTGGGATGCTTTCTCCACCTACTTGATGTGTGTGGCCTTAAAATGGGTGTAATATGTTTATGTGTGCTGCTATGGGAGATGTATATACACACATCTATCCATCTACATAGATAAATATTTGGCATATATATGTTTACATGACTAGCATAATATGTGGGACACAGAGATGGAGCAAAATTTGTAGAAATTAAAATAGCTCTGTTGTTATGGGTGATTCTGTTGTATAAAAGGGCTGGCCAAACCTCATTGTATCCTATGCCTTCCTCCCATTCAGAGCTTCGTGTCTGTTTACAACATTGTTTTATATCGATTGTTATTGTATATACATTACTAATGTATAGATGCATTGCTATTTTTTATTTCAGTTATTTGGTATTTGTTTTGAGTTTCAATCAACGAACCCAGACATGTATTATTTAGCCAATATTGCAGACTTCGGGAGGTATATATATGGTATGCTAATACAGGCCTTCAAAATAATTTTTCTTAGCTAAAAAGTTGCTGATAGAATTGCCTCTTATGCCTCGTAAGATACTAGGATGTAACTTTGTAGTTGAGAGAGAGAATTTCTGTAATATCCTTTATAGGGGTCTTGTTTGAGCATGATATTTCAGGAAGATGGGATGACTATGCTTGCCAAAATACTGCTCAGGAGATTTAATCTGTTATTGGACCCAAGGACCCTGGCTTGTGTGGGGCTTATGCCAGAATCTGGTATAGTGGCCTTCTGAAGTGTGAGACTGCTTTATTGGAGTGTCTCCCACTATAAGTAGACAGCATATTCTGCTAAGCCTGTCTTATAAATGCATTTGTTTTACTGGTTCACTTAAAGAATACTTACTTTTGTGATACAGGAAATATTGTCAAGAAAGATGTTTGTGAGCTGTAACTACTATTCTGCATTTTATCAGCATTTATTACTTGAAGCACCATATTTATTTTTTTGGCACTTATATACAGACATTTCTTGTATTCTTTGTTTCAACAGGTACCATCGTAGTATTGACTCTGATTTCACAGCTGCCTTGGTGGCCTATCATGTATGGCCTGCTCTGATGGAAAATGATGTTGTAATTGTGAAGGGAGAGGCAGTCACAAAAAGAGGAGCTCTGGTACGTGCTCTTTGTTAAGGGAAGTCTCTGGTTTTAAACACTCTTAAATTTCAAAAAGATAAATTCTTGATTCTTCCCTATATGGCTAGAGTTGTGTATATCAAATATCAGTTAGGTTTTAGTGCCTTATCCTGTGTTTAGGGTTAATAGTTCCATTTGCCTTAACATATTCATTATGCAGATGTATGATTGTTGGCAGAGCCTGTTCTAAGGAGACAGTTTACTGTGTTTACTCTGTCCTCAAGCCTTGTCTCCAGCATGGCAAGTCTGCTTGCCCAGTATGTCTTTATTAAATGCCGTCTCTTAAAAGAGGTTTGTCAAACGCTTCTCTTGCAGTGGTCTTGCAGAAGTAGAAGTAGAGGCAGAAGCCGCAGCCGTAGCACCAGTCCTCTTCTGTCTCATCATGTAAGCCCCAGCTGAATGCTTGTCATATAAACAGCATCAAGTATTTTAAACTCAGAATGTAGGAAGTCTTTTAAAAATGCTGATGTGCCACATGTACATTTTAACATTGGGAATAAACGCCTTTTCTGGGTCTGGAATGAGGCGAAGCTGAACGGATGGATAGTTATTGCCTGGTATAATTATCAGTGGAGATACTGGATGAGAAGCAGATAATAGTTAAATTCTCAGAAGTATCAACTGTGGATCTCTGAATGCTTTCCCTCTACTCCTCCTTGCTTCAGTACCTTTCTGAATAACCGGTTGCATCATCTGGAAGTGTTTTAGTCATCTTTCAGTACATATACAGCATATGGTCCCTGCCTCCTGGAATTAGTAATCTAAATTTATCCTCTAATGCCTCAAAGGAGCAGAAAATCAGTGTAGTGGATGGGCAGAAGGGAAAAAACTGAGGTGATTCTAGTAAGATATGTGAAACCTTAGCAAAGTTCTGCCTATGTTATAGTTACACAATATTTTGAATCATTTCTGTAAAAATTATATGTATTTTTCTAAATGTTAGCCCATCTTATTAAATTGGCATAGGTGCCCTCAACTTAAAATGTGAATATTAAGAATGTGAGAGCCTTTGGGTAAGACTCACTTTTTGGTATGTGTGCAAGGTGTGAAAGAGAAACTAGAAAGTTGTTGAATTTGACTTTGTAGCAGTGGAGCTGCACTGATAGAGTAACGTGCAAATCTTCTGAATGTTGATGAGTTCCCAGGTGCCTTTCTCGGGTGTAGTTCTTTAGCACACCTGAGTTTCCTTCTGTGTTTGTCTTGTAGTTGTCTCGAAGCCGCAGTTCTTCACCATTGAGGAGCGGAAGCCCAAGTAAGTGGGCATATTAGTTCACAGTGACTCCTGCTTTTCACATTAAGCCCTTGAACAACTGAGCAAAGAAACAAAATAACATGCTGAAGGTCTTTGACTCTAAAATACTTGTCTAAGTCTTATTTTTAAAGTGGGTAGCCTCCGTCTTTTCTGTGTGTAGAAAAAGGCTGAAATTTCTGTCTTGGAGAAGAGCTTATTTTTCACTCTACTCAGACCACTGTCGTGAGTTCTCTCTGCTGGTTGCCTTTATTGCGGGTGGTTCTATAGTAAGTAAAACTTGTTCTCTTCCCCACACGAGAGACAGTTAGCTGTAGCCTGCTGGCTCCGTGCCTTTCAAAATCCAAAGAGATAGCTAAGTGGTGATGGTGAAGGGAAGGATTTCAAACAGCATGAATGTGTGCCCATCTTGAAGCGAAGCCAATTTAGAAGTTTAGAAAAAAATAGTGGTACTGAAACTTGTCTTTTTCTTCAATAGGACGTGAAGTTAACTGAACATGTTCCTGTGATTCAGTACATCTGGATGCAACAACTTCACTGATGCCTTTTCTCTTCAAGAATACCTCAAATCTCGCAATAATGTGAATGGCAATTGTCACTCCAAAGGGAGTTTGTGTTCAGTGTGGTTTTTAGAATTATAGAAAGCTTATTTATAATTTTAGAAGCTAATTCAACCCTTCTGATTTAAAAAAAAACAACAAAACAAACAACTGCATGCAATACAGATCATACTTGTTTGGCAAAATTTGCAGAGCACTGAGGGACCCGTGCTGTAATCCTGCAGATGCAGATAGTATTATTGCATCTAGAATGTTTTCCACAGATATCAAATGATGCAGTTTATCTTGATAGGGTGTTTAATACAACCTAAATGGTGAATTTTGCAGAATGTTGAGCTTAGCTGTTACTTGAAAACAATTTCATTAATTGGTGCGTATTTACAATTTTAGAAAACAGCAATAATTGTAGGATGTGCCAGTCTCACACAGCATCCTTTTAAATACATCCTTGCAGTAAACTGAATTTTCTAACTGCAAAGCAAAAGTTGCGCAGAACAGTCATAGACTACCAATACTGCAGCAATCCCCAGGACTTTATTGATGTTTACTTATGAAAACACAGGTGTGTGCTTTAAAGCAAGGCAGTAATAGTCCTTGTTAAATCCATTGTTACTTAGAAATTAATATCATAAAGATTTGTAGTTTGGAACTTTAAGTATTTTGAAAGTGTGCCACTGACTATTTTTAGGCTTGAAGTATTTGCTTGAGGTGGTCTATTTGGTATCACTTTTAATGGGCTTTCATACCAGACTGATAGATTAGGAATTCTTCTGAACACAGTGGAAAAAAAAAAACAAACCCAAACTGTCTAGTTATCTCTTACTGTGGGTGCTTATTATGTTTAAAAATTAGAGGAGATTTTATTCTGGCACTTTAAATAGCTTGTTCCCCTTGTAAATGTTTACTTTAATATCAGCATTTTTGGTTTTGAGAGAACTGATACCATCTTTCTCTCAGAAACTCATCTGTAGGGCCAGCCTTAAGTCACACAGGTTACTGCCTGGGGCTTTGTGCATTTACATAGAAACATAGGATTTGTCATAATGGAGCTCATGTGTGATTCACCAACCCCACTGCCTCATTCCAGTCAATACCTCATGCTTCAAAGGTATGTGGTACTTTCCCCAAACTTATCTCCACAATTTTGGAATATAAACAATCAGAAGGAAGAAAAATCCCTTCCTGCCTCTCTTTTAATCAGCCTATGCCCTGGAACATGACATTTCATTAGTACTACTGTAATAACATGAGCAAAAATATTTTTATTAGTTCTGAAACTATTTAGTAATTAAAATTAAGTTACAGGAGCAAATTTTGTGATCCCTTTCCAGGGATCTTATGCAGGTTTACACATCCATACTCTTTCTACTTCTTGTGTGGCTTAAGGCTTTGGCACAGGATCAGATTTCAGGTGGACTTTAGTGCTGGTCCCCATGAGCCATAGATAACTGTGACTCTAGTTATACAGACCTATTTTCATTGGAATTAGGCCCATTAGTCACTAATGAGAGCAAAATGAGGTCCTGTAAGTAGAGCATCATTCACAGAGCCTCTCTGAATGAACTAAGGGAACACAAAGGCACATGCACGTTATGCGGTGTACTTTCTTGTTTTCTAGGAAAGTCACAAGAGAAAATGCAAAGCCATATGTTTCCTCTTCTAAGAGCCTGATTGCTGGTCACAGCTATGGGTCTGGGCTTGAAGTAAACCTGCATATTTCTGCGCTAATCTCATGACTAAACCCACCACAGTTCTGGAAAAACTGAGCACCTGCAACTTGTGTGGCAAGAGAACATAATTAGATATCCTGAGTAGGGTTTTGAGCAGAAAAATGAAGACTTTTGAAAAATCTTGTAGTTACCAAGGGCTAAAGAGAAGGAGGCATTTTAAAAATTAGGTATTGTATGTTTGTCATCTGCATGTAATTACCAAGAACTTTCTGTGTTATTGAGTTGAAGTAAGTTTCCATACCAACTGTGAGAAAACTAGGACTACATCAAGAAAGTATGTTTTTCTTGACAAGCATGAGAGGCAGGGTAGTTCCAGACTTACACACCTGTGATGCCACTATGAACTATTACTCCCAAAGATCTAAAAATGCCATAAAAGACTAATTCTCAGTGTTTGGTGGGCCATCTCATCTTGCTCCTCCAGCAGGTATCTAGAGCGCTAGTTAGTCTCAAAGTAAAAGAGAGAACTAATGAAATGACAGCCAGTGGCTTGTTTTGGTAGTGAGAAAGCAGGTCTAGGTTGTTTTGGGGTGGGGTTTTTTTGTGCGTAATGTTTCAGAGCAGAGCAAACCATTTTCAGCAAAATAGGAAGTCAGTCTACAGCCTGGTAACACTTAATTAGTTAAACAAACCTAACTACTCAATTGTACTCTGCAGTCTGTGGTCTTTTTATAGGAATATACTGCTTTGTACTAGTTGCCTGCACAGCTTGCTTATAGCCAATGAAATCTATAGATCAGATAGAAGATTGCTTTTGGTGTCAAGTTAGACACTAATAGCTCCTGTGCTGCTTTTTATCCAGATGACAACAGTGCAGAGAATGCATACCAATAAAAATTATACGGAATTAACTAGCAAATGCAAAATGACTTATAAAAAGGGACTTCTGTAATTGCTTTTAAGACCCTGCAAAAGAATGGATCATGAATGTGAAGTTGATGACTTGATATTTTAACAAGAATTTTTAAAATCTGAAGTAAGGTTTTTTATTTTCTTTTTTTTGCTAAATCACAAGCTTGGATAATCTCACATTTATAAATACAGCAACGTAGAAACAGTAAGGGTGGATTCTAATAGGTGACAAATAAAAAAAGCCAGTAAGGTTTCTGTTACAAGATAGTTTTAGAACACTATGGTCATGATTAAAGTGTTAATACCAGGAAAAAGAAGGCTAGATTTTGCTGGAATTTAAACTCTTTGCAGATGGGCTTATGGAGGTGAGACTGCATGGGATGTAAAAAAGCACCACCTGTGGGCCAAGATGTTCATGTACAACAGCACACATTTGCGAGGAATTTTGAGATTGCTGGAGAATTTCTCCTGCATATCAACTCTTTGAAGGCTGATTATGTCTCAGTTCAAAGGCCCTCCCAGAGTCAGCCTAAATGTGTGGATGTTTTATCAGCTATTTCTGAGATAATACAGTGCCATCAAAATACGTTCAGTCTTCTTTCTTCAATGTTTGCAGCTCAATAACATAGAGACTTATGCAAGGTTAGCAGATACTGAGGGTAAAGGGCTCAGCTAAATTTGCTACTGCACAATGAAGGTTTAAGTTCAGAAGTTATCTTAGATTCTTCCAGCATCCTGGTAGGAGTAAGAAAGTGGGGAGCGGGAGGCAGGTGGAGTCCTCCCATCTAATCTGGTTGGCAGAAAGTTGCAGTGCTGATTCAGTCTTGTAGGAGGCTGTGGAGATGAGCAGTAGGTTAAAGCAAAAATACTCTGTAGCCTCAAAAAAGTAAATGTGAAGGCCAAAAATTATCCAAATGCTCCCTGGAAAATATAGGCCTGTGCATCCTCCAGGATTTGAGCCTTTCAACTTTACTTTCATATTGCATGTATGTATTGCAAAAGTTTGTTATCCGCTAGAAGTGCCATCAGAAGTAAATACTGTCTTTCAGCTTTACGTAACCTTGTCAGCTGCTTTTGCTTGGTGTTAACTACACAATGATTTTCCTATTGTAGCATTGAGTGGTCAAGCTTTATATTAAAGAAATGAAAATGCATTTGTCATGACTTGCAGGTGTGTTAGCATGTGTTCAGATCAAACGTTTTAGGTTTCAGTACTGTATTTCTTTTAGTCATGCAGCATACTAATCAACTATACTAAAACATATATTTCATTTTATGGTTGAAAAGTTGGAAACAGAGTTTTGATAGTTTAAAACAACACATGTATCAGGTTCTTGCTGATTCACAGGTGTGTTGTTTATGTGGAAGCTGTACTTGGTAGATGGAGCACCAACATAGAGCACTTGGTGTCATTTTACTGTTTACAGACAAAAGCATGAACACAAATGAAGTGGGTGGTGTGTTTATACTTAAGGCTTTGAGAAGGCAACACTTCTGCCTTGCAAAAACACAGTTCTCAAAGTAATGTTAAACTGTTTGAAAGTAAAATGTCACCATAAAGATGCTGTTTACCACTTAGTATTGCTTCCTGTGAAACTCTTTTTTTTTCCTACAGGGCTTTGGCCTGTGTTCAAAGCTCTTTGTTTTAACAGAAAAATTTCATAAAGAGAATCACTTTAGGCTAATGCCTTCTCTTCACAGTAGCTGGCATTCAGCCTTTTACAGCAATCACCTGAAGCAGATATAAACTTAACCTTTATAAACTGCATTCATGACCTTCAGTGAAAACCTGTCTCTGTGTTGATGATATGTGCACCCCCAATACAACATGGATGAGACAAACAATATTATCTGGAAGAATCTTCTTCTATTCACAGAAACTATTTTGCCCTATGACCTTTTATACAGTTTGCACTTTAAATGGCTAGACTGGTTTAGTTAATAAAAAATAAATGGAGTTTTAAAAAAGTGACAAATATTTTTCCAAGTTTTGTCTATCTTCTGGCAAAGTGTTGTTCTCAGGTACTTAGTTAATGAAAAAAAATAAGGCAAAATGTTGCAGTTTAAGAAAATAACACCAAGTTTATTGTATAAAATGACTATACTAAATTTTTATAAGTATTACAATATGCAGTTTTCATGTTAACTAGCTTACAACAAAGATTTATCAGCATCTCTTTTGACACAAATGCAAAATTAAGACAATCTGAATGGCTATTTTAATCAATTTTCTGTTTCCTAGTGCTGAGCTTTTATGACCACTTTCAGGGTAACTTGTTCATATAGTAATAACTGCATTTAGTGTGTGTTGTGCAGACAGACTTCATCTTCCCTGAACCTTTATGTATGCTTTATGCTTTTATGTGTCAATCAGAAATGGAAAGTTTTATTCTTTAAAAGCACTTTACACGCTGCAAGTAAGTGAATGATTACTCTTCAGGTGGAGTTGCTTAGATGAGGGTATGTGAAGTATTGTCTGGTTCGGTGCCATGTTCTCCCCAGGCCACACTGTCACCGCTTTCAACTTTACCCTGAACATCACACCTTTGCTCAGAAAAGGAAACTCGATTATTTCTACATGCCACTGTAATTTGGGCAGGAATCTACTACTCAATTAAAACCAGACTCAGACAGAGCTGTGCCAGTCTTTTAATATATAAATACAATTAGTATTTTAATTTCTAATCAGTGTATGGTGTATTGCTTGACCTGAAGAGCTTGTAGTTTAAATGAAGTGCTGGTTTCAAATTCTTCAGCTATTAAATCAATGAAAAGTATATGAAATTTTGAATTTAACTATTTTCAGTTGATTAATACCAGTCTGGAATTTCGGGGATGACTAACTACAATCTAAGTAACATGTCCATTTCAATTAGACTGAATAAACAGCATGTTTTAAACTAGTAGCTCAAAAACTGCATTGTAAATTGGTTCTTTTGTTAATCAATAAAATACCAAGCCTGAGCTCTTTGTACTTACGCTAGCAGCGCCTGACCTTATTGTAAATTGGTTCTTTTGTTAAAGAATCAATAAAATACCAAGCCTAAGCTCTTTGTACTTACGCTAGCAGCGCCTGACCTGCTCTGAATTTAGCTTAAACCAAATTAAACCAGATCTCAGTTGCTGTTATTGCAAATGGACAGCTGAAGCTAAACCTCAAGGTGGCATCTGTTCTCTGTAAGCTTGCGGTCTGTTTTTGTTGATGCTGCTGTAACTGGACTGGCACAGTTTATCAAGAGTTGTGATTGACTGTCCATCACAGGAATTTTAAGCTTGGGAGCATTTGTGTTTGTCTTGCACAAGTGTGGAAGAGTCCAGGGAAATCCTAGAGCACCCTACAGGAAGATGAAATGGGTAGGTATGACAGTTTCTTCTCATTTTATAATACTGGTATTATAAAATACAAATACAGATTTTACAATACGGGCAAGAGTGTACACATGATAAATGAAGGTGATCTTTTACCCTTTATCCTGATGCTTGAATTCATTAGTAATGCTGTAGCAACAGCATCGTGGAAGTACCAGCCTGAGATTCATTCTGGAGTGTGTCTTGAGCCACTGAGTGCAAGCTGCAAAAGAAAACTTGCTGTGAATACAGGGGCCTGTTTAATTCCTATTTCTGGTTAATATCTCTCTAATGGCTCCAAAACTCACCACCTTTGTCACGAATCTAGAAAAAAACCCAACCTGTGCTGGGATTTACCCTTATTTGCTTACAAAGAAGTAGGTTGACTGGAGCGCAGATAGGGTTGCAGCCTGCTGTAATTTTGGCGGGAAAGCCCTTGAAGCCTTTGAGGAGTCAGGGCAGACCAGCATGGCAGTAGGAGGAGAAGCCTTGTGGGAAAGGCTGGAGCCTGAAGCAGGCAGCTGGTTTCTGTTTAACACCTCATTTCTGTAAAAGGACACTGATTTGGGTTAATTGGTTCCCTTCTTCACCAAGGAGCTGTGCACATGGAGCTCGCTGGAAGAAAGGGCCTCGTTCCTGGAACACTTCCTCCAAACAGGTGAATCCTTGTTGTTTTCCCTCTGACAGACAGATGGCATATTTAAATGTAAAAAGGTTTCCAGTGTTCTCCTGTGTGTGAGGTGCTGTTCCTGTTCTGGCTCTGCAGAGACTGAAGGAAAAAGCCATTAAAAAGGTAGAGGGGCACAAAAACAGATAAAAAGGACTACAAATGTCGATAGGAGAAGCAGGGGTGAGATGTGACTGGCAACTGGGTGAGTGTAGCACACGTGTGGAGGACCTGAGGCCTCCTGGCACGTGCTGGCCCAGTGAGGCTGGTCTTGCTGGGTGAGTTAGAATCATAGAATCATAGAATGTTTTGGGTTGGAAGGGACCCCTAGAGGCATCTAGTCCAGCCCCCAGAGAGCTGGGCTGGGTGCTCTCCCTGCTGCCCATGGGACCCTCCCAGCAGGGGACAGGACCTGGGCTCTCCTGGGCTGTACCCAAACCGGGTGCTGGGGCCATGGTTTGTAGGAGAGCAGCTTGGAGCAGAGCAAAAACCTTACCTGCAAAAGGCTAGTGGGCATTTTAGATGAAAGTTTATGAACTAACCTGATGGAGCCAGCTTAAAAGAAAAAAAAAAATTACACCTATTTATCTTGAGGAGATGTTTCTGTGAAGGCTCCAAGCTGCTTTGCCCACCATAAGCTGCAGAGTATTTCCCACGAGATGGCACTATTGCCTTATGCACAGAAAAAGCAGGTTTTGGCTTCAACTGCATTTTTAAAGCTGATTGCCAAAGAGAGGTGTGCAAATAAATGTATAAATGTATAAATGATCAGGGCAATATCAACAGATGTCAAATGGAGAATTAGCTTGCTGATTGATCTGTTAAAGGTTGCTGCCTGATAAGGATGTGACATAATCCTGATGTATGGCTGATAAAATGAACACCACTATCAATACATTATTGGAGAAACCGATTTGGGTTTAGGGTTTTTGGGGGTCAATTTTTTAAAAATTCTGTGGCTCTCCTAAAGTGAGTGGTATTTACCTGGTCACATTCTGACTGATCTTCTCAAAGAACTTTTACTTTAAAAAAAAAACCAAACAAACTGAGAATCATATTGAAAATTAACTACTCTTAACATTTGCCCATTTTTTAATTAATTCTGGTTCTTATCTAGTTCAATAAAATGCCAGCTTGCAAAATTGTAGTGTTTTGAGAAATTGTTCAGTTGTGGTGGCTGGTTGGCAAGTTGCTTTCCTTTCCCTCAGTCTGTGACTGAAAGAGGTGTTTTCCTAATAAATTCTGCAAGGTCTCTGAATCAGAAACATGCTTCCTGCCTTTAGCTGCACCTTCTGTTGATTTTTCTAATCAAAGACAGGGTCAGTCACATCTCCCGAACCACCTGGGGAGAGCTGGAAGAAGCCCTGCTGTCACAGCAACTGCTTTGGGGTAACCATGTTCTTAATCTTACGAATGGCTGTTTTAAAAACAAGTCTGTTTTGCACCATGCTCCGTCTCTTATTGCAGCCTTGTTCCAGGATTTCACTTCTCTGATGCTTGGAAATTTTCTTCTGATTCCCAGCCCAATTTTATTCACTTCCAGGCTATATCTCTTTGTTCTTCTGCCAGTATCATTCTTTATCTGCAGCAGTCCTTGTTCCCTCCTTTGGTATTTGCCCTACTGATGAGAGCAGTCATCTTGTCTCTTAGTTTTTGTTTCTCTAGGCTAGAAAAGCCAAATCTTTGCATCTCCTCTCGAGGGAGAGACTCTTCATTCCCTCGATTATCCTGTTTGGGTGGTCCTGGGTATATTTCTGTTTCAATCCATCTTTCTTGAGCACAGGTGACTAGAAATGGTGCACAATATTCAGGAGAAGGCCTGACAAGAGTTTTGTATCATACATTTATCAATTTCATTGTGCCATTGTAGCATCTCTGTAGGAAGTTGTTCAATATCTGCAATCAATTACTAAGTTTTATCCTCAGTTGGTTCAAATTGACGAGTCTTTTCCCCTAGAACGTTAATTCAACCACATGCTTTTTTGTGGGTGCTTGATTTTCCATCTCTAAATGCCTTTCATATGGGTGGCACAGTTATTTTAGAAACT